GCTTAGCATGGAGCCTGACGCAGGGCTCGATCTCACAACCCTGACGTCATGACCTGAGCTGAAATCAAGTCAGATACTTAAATGACTGAGCCACCCATGCACCCCCCCTAATATAATTTATTTAAAGCAAATTTTGAAGGATGTCATTTGTTATGGGTAAGGCTAAATATTACCAAGGATTTTATTAAACATAAATTTTACAATATAATATTTGATAAAATAAAGGTTTTAACTTCAAATAATATCTTATTATATATCATTATAAAGTGATTTTCTAAAGTATTAAGGCTTCTCAAAAACTATTTTAGAAGTTGTTTTTTTTTTTAATTAGCAAATACTAAACTACAGAGATGGGGAGCTTTTCCTCTTATTTTACAGTTGAGAAAATGGAGGCTCAAAAAAAATGAACTATTTGTTCAAAGGCCAAAAATTAATAGATGGCAGATTCTAGTTTTAAATTCAAGATGATCTGATTCTAAAATTCATGCTCTTAATCACAAATGCCAATGTGTGGCTTAGACAGTGGTAGGGGGACCTGGGGGAGAGGGAGTCTGAGTGACATTTCAAAGACAAAATCCATAGGCAATGCTGATGGCTCAGAGAGATGAAAGTTTTGATGAGTAAGGGTTCTCTTCTAGCTGAGAAATTTAGGAAAATAGTGTTGCTACCGTAAAATACCATAACAGTAGAAAAATAAATAAATAAGCAAGATAGGAATTTCATTTAAGGAAAAAGGTGCTGAGATTGATTGTGGCCTTGCTAAGTCAAAAGTAGCATTAAGACTTATGGGTAGGGGCACCTGGGTGGCTCAGTCGTTAAGCATCTGCCTTCGGCTCAGGTCATGATCCCAGGGTCTTGGGATCGAGCCCCGCATCGGGCTCCCTGCTCAGTGGGAAGCCTACTTCTTCTTCTCCCTCTGCCTGCTGCTTGTGTTCCTTCTCCCATTGTCTCTGTCAAATAAATAAATACAATCTTTAAAAAAAAAAAAAGACTTACAGGTAGAGCTGTCCTATAAGCATTTGAAAATACAGGACTTAGATTCTGTTGAAAGTCAGTGCTGAAAATGTAGATTCAAGATCCATCAACTAAGGGTAGTGGTTGAAGCCAGAACAGGTGAAAAAGAATGAGAATCTGGAGACTTGACCTAAAAACAGTAACATGATCTAAGCCTCAAGGAAGGCCCCCACTTGTGGGCTTAAGGAGGGAAAAATGTGAGCCAAGAAAATAAAGAAATAAACAAATAAATAACAAGAAGTTAAAGGAGGACCAGGACAACCTAGAATCATGAAAGCCAAGAAATAATAAACATGGCTAAAATTTATTGAGCACTTACCGTGGATCAAATTTGTGTTGTGTTTTTCACAGACATTATCTTATTTAATCTTTATAATAACTCAAGGAGGTAGGTCTGTAGATCTTTATTGATAGATGAAGACACAGAGGCTTTGCAAAATTAAGCCAATATGCCTGTCACTCAGCTGGCAAGTCCTATGGCAAAAACTGGAATGTGCGTTTCCAGCCTCCAGGGTCCATTTTCCAACCAGTGGTCTCTAGAGTGTACAAGGCAAACCACTGTGGTGTGGGAAGAAAATGTTAAAATTGCAATTATTATATCTCTTCTTCTTTAAATTGCATTTTTTGTATGTTTTACAACAAGCATCCTATATTAGTATGGTGAATGTGCGTATTTTCTAAATTAATAACTATATATTTATTGGGGCATATGCTCAGTTAATTTACTAATGTAAGGATGCAAAACATTGGAATCATTTCTTTATTATTATTTTTTTTGAATCATTTCTTTAAACTGCTATACAAAACTGCCTTTTTGTCTTGTCCCATCTTCAACAAGAAACTACATTCACTTTCTATGGCCATGCTGTCTTTTAAATGCAATACTAGTTCTAATTGAGTTAAATAAGAACTGTTTATTTCATGGGTTCTTTTCAAGTTATTCCTTGGTATTTTCAGAAATTTGTGAAAGCTTTTGGGTTTAATTGGTTCTTTGTAATAGTAAAAGGAACACAGGCTTTAGACCAGACAGATATCAGCTTTGACCTTTCTGACCATATGACCTCAGACAAATACCTCATTTCTCAGAGCCAGGTTTGTTCATCTGTAAACTGGAGATAATATGTACCTGGCAGAGTACTGCAAAGTTTAGCAATATCATATGAAAAAAACTTAGCACTGGGCCTGGCATACAGTGGATACTTTTAGATTTTATTTATTTATTTGAGGTGGGGGCGCACACATGGTGAGAGGGGGTGAGGAAGGGCACAGGGAGAGGGAGAAAGAGAATCCGGAGCAGACTCTGCACTGAGCCCAGAGCCCCATGCAGGGCTCACTCTCATGACCCTCAGATCATGACCTGAGCCGAAATCAAGAGTCAATTGCTTAACCAGCTGAGGCACCCAGGGGCCCCTACAAGCGATACTTTAAAAGAACAGCAAAAAGTAATAATAGGAGCAGTACTTCTTTATTGTAGAGAATATCTATAGTTCAATCATCATGTCCCCTCTAAAATCCAGACACATATACCTTTGGCAAAGTTTTGCCTATACTGTCCTTAATTTAACCTGGGTACTTGTTTGAACATAGACAAAAAGGATTTTCCAGAAATATGGAGGCCACTGCATACAGCTGTGCAGGTTGGGGAATGCCATTTACATGAGCTACAGGCATACCTTGGATGTATTGTGGGTTCAGGTCCAGACCACTGCAATAAAGCAAATATCACAATAAAGCAAGTCAGGTGAGAATTTTGGTTTCCCAGTGTAAATAAAAGTTAATGTTTACACTATACTGTAGTCTATTAAGTGTGCAATGGCATTATGCCTTAAAAAAAATACCTTAATTTAAAGATATTTTATTGCGGGCTGTCTGGGTGGCTCAGTCGGTTAGGCAGCTGCCTTTGGCTCAAGTCATGACCCAGGGTCCTGGGATCGAGCCCCGCATCAGGTTCCTCTGATGGATCTGGGCAAAATCAACTGAAAACCTTTTGTAAAGGATTCACCATCCTAAATGCTATTAAGAAACTAATAATACATTATATGTTAAAAAAAAAAAGATAATAGGAAGGGAAAAACAAAAGGGGGGAAATGGGAGGGGGAGATGAACCATGAGAGAACTATGGACTCTGAGAAACAAACTGAGGGTTCTAGAGGGGAGGGAGGTGGGGGGATGGGTTAGCTTGGTGGTGGGTATTAAAGAGGGTACGTTCTGCATGGAGCACTGGGTGTTATACGCAAACAATGAATCATGGAACACTACATCAAAAACTAATGATGTAACGTATGGTGATTAACATAACATAACAAAATAAAATTAAAAAAAAAAGTCACCACCTAATCTCTCTCCTTCCCAGCTTTTTGAATTATTTTCATAGTGGGCTGATTCTAACACTAATCTTATATACATACTTTAGTAAAAATGTTAATCTTTAAAAAAAAAAAGAACATTTGTAGTTCGTGGAAAGAGGTCAAAATATCAACATTAGCAGGAGTTTGGAAGTTGAATGTATCCCTCATGGATGACCTTGAGGAGTTCAAGACTTCAGTGGAGGAAGTAGCTGCAGATGTGGTGGAAATAGCAAGAGAACTAGAATTAAAGTGGGCCCTGAATATATGACTGTATCTCATGATAAAACTTTAAGGAGTTGATTCCTATGGATGAGCAAAGCAGGTGGTTTCTTGAGATGGAATCTACTCCTGGTGAAGATGTTTGATAGCACTTTACCTATAGTAGAACTTCTTTCAGAATTGGAGTCATTCCTCTGAAACCATTCTGCTGCTTTACCAACTACATTTATGTAACATTTTAAGTCCTCTGTTGTCATTTCAACAGCCTTCACAGCATCAATTGACTTTGCCCAGATCCATGAGAGGAATCACTACCTATGGCAGCTATCGCCTTACAAAATGTATTTCTTAACTAGTAAGACTTGAAAGTTGAGATTACTATGTGGTGCATGGGCTGCAGAATCAATGTTGTGTTAGCAGGCCATGAAAGCAATGTTAATGTCACTATCCATTTCCATCAGAGCACATGGGTAATCAGGTGCATTGTTAATGAGTGATAATATTTTGAAAGGCATCTTTTTTCTGAGCAATAGGTCTCAACAGTAGGCTTAAAATACTCAGTAAACCATGTTTTAAACAGATGTGCCATCATCCAGGCTTTGTTGTTCCATTTTTAGAGCATAGGTAGAGTAGGTTTAGCATAGTTCTTAAGGGCCCTAGAATTTTCAGGATGGTAAATGAACATTGGCTTCAACTTAAAGTCACCAGGTGCATTAGCTCCTAAAAAGAGAGTCAGCCTGTCTTTGAGGCTTTGAAGCCCCGCACTGACTTCTCTGTATCTGAGAAAGACCTAAATGGCATCTCCTTCCAGGACAAGACAGTTTTGTCTGTAGTGAAAATCTGTTGTTTTGTGTAAGCTACAGCATTATCTTAGCTAAATAACTTGCTAGATAACTTGCTGCAGCTTCTCCCTCAGCACTTGCTGCTTCACCTTTGCACTTCTATGTTACAAGAAGTCTTCTTTCCTTAAACCCCATGAACCCACCTCTGTTAGCTTCAGACTTTCCTTCTGCAGCTTCCTCACCTCTCTCAGCCTTCATAGAATTGAAGAGAGTTAGGGCCTTGCTCTGGTTTAGGCTTTGGTTTTGGCTTAAGGGAGTGTTGTAGCTGGTTTGATCTTCTATCCATAATTTTCTCCATATCAGCAATTAGCCCGTTTCACTTTCACTTTCTTATCATTGACGTGTTCACTGGAGTAGCACTTTTAGTTTCCTTCCAGAACTTCAAGGTATGCCTTGATAAGAGTAATGGCTCCTCCTATTCTTGTACAGAGCAGTATCCCTAGAAATATCCTGGCAAAGACATAGAGGGCCAAAGGTATGGCATCCTCAACAGAATTAAGAGAGATGAATGCCACTGCCCACACTTGCATTGGTTGGTGTGTTAAATGCTTGTCTGCTTGTTTGATGTTCTTCGCAGATCTGTACTCCCGACTTGGTGGTATTTTTGGCTTGTGCCAATCAGCGGCTCAAAGAAAGATTACTGAAGCGTGCAGAGCAACAGGGACGGCCTGACGACAATCTGAAAGCTACCCAAAGGAGACTAATGAACTTCAAGCAGAACGCTGCTCCATTGGTCAAATACTTCCAGGAAAAGGGGCTCATCATGACAGTAAGTTAGCTATACTTTTACATGTCCAGTATAAGAACAATCTTTCAGATTTCTAATTCACCTGTTCTCATTTAGAAACCCTCTTTACTTAAAAAAAAAAAAAGTGGCTTTTCTTGGGTTTTAGATCCAATGGGAAAAAAATCGATAATTTTTACCTGCTTTGCCTTGATTAATTCATTATGATAAAAATACTTTCAGTTTACTTTAATTTTATAAAAAATGATAAATTTTAACCTTGGCTAGAATTCTACAGTCCCCTCCCCCAAAAAAGTATTTTTAAATAATTAGTTGGATAATTTTAAGTAGTACTTGCCCGGTTTCTCAACTCTTTTGTCTTTGGAAACCTAATAAAATTGATAGGCTTAAAAACACGTAGTTGATAGAGTGTTCTATTAGACTTACATTGTAAGTCCGGTTTTATCACAAAGTACCACGTAAAGAAATGAGATCCTGATGGCACAAAAAAGTTTCCTAAGGGTTTGACTTGCTTAAAGAAGTAATAGTGTCCGAAAATGGAAGGCATTGATCTTTCTGCTCCATTAACACAATGCTAATATTGTTTTTAATATTTGTTTTATGGTTAATGATACTCAATGTACCAATGAAGATGAGACTGAATCATTATTTAATAGTTATTAGAATACAGGAAGTTAATGGTGAAGATTCAGCTAAATTATGATCCCATAACATCAAAAATTCAGGTATTAGAGGAGGCAAAGGAATCACTGACCATCTGATGAAAATATTTTATGGAAGAGGACACCAACATCAGAGCAACTCCATGATAGCTGGATGGTGGCAGAGCTCAGCAGAACCTTCCCCCCAGCCCTTGGGTTTTTCTCACCAGACCAGAGATTCTTATCTAGTGAGGTTACAATGCCTGGTAGACAATCTGATGAAAATAATTCATGCCTTTCTGAATAAAATGCACATAAGATTTTTTTTTTGAGGGGCGCCTGGGTGGCTCAGTTGGTTAAGCGACTGCCTTCAGCTCAGGTCATGATCCTGGAGTCCCGGGATCGAGTCCCACATCGGGCTCCCTGCTCAGCGGGAAGTCTGCTTTTCCCTCTGACCCTCCCCCCTCTCATGCTCTCTCTCTCTCTCTCTCATTCTGTCTCTCAAAATAAATAAATAAATAAAATCTTTAAAAAAAAAAAGATTTTTTTTTTTTTACAAATTTTAGGTAAATCTACTGAAGCTCAGCCACAGAGCCCCTATGACCTAGCAATTACTGGGTAAAAAAATCTCTTCATTAGACTAAGATGCCCTTAAATCTGAGACAGTCACAACACTTGAATAATAATCTCTCTGCAGTCTTTTTAGCACTCTAAAGAAATATTTATTCGAATTTGCTCTTTGAGTCAAAGTTGTCATGTCAGAGAACTGTAAATCTGATCTGAAAATTGTTCACAGTGCCACAGTTAATTTTATGGTCTAAAAGAGACATTGAAAATAGGAAAGATTCAAGAAAGTCAGGGTGGATGTTTCTCTGGCTAATTTTGTTGGGATTGTTCCCTGTTTCTCTTGCAAATTACCAATGCTTCTGCATTGTGTCATGAAAAAAGAAATTTACCCTACAGACCAAACCCCCAACTGCAAGGTGCAGAGCCAGAGTTTTAATTGATGTTTGCAAGGCTTAAAGGTATTGCCAAAGTGTCTCTGATTACTCCCTGCCTGTCACGTTTGTGATCACAAGCAGAGCAGATTTCCCAAATGAATGCAGAGGGGGGATTGTTAATTTACTAATATTTTGCATGGAGGTGAAATGCCATTGCCTGTAATTGAGGGAGTCAATAACAATGTGGATGACAGCCTGTAACCTCACTGTTAAAACCAAATAAGCTTTAGGATAAACGCCTCTAATTACTGGGAGACTTGCCTTGGAAAGTCACCTTTTGAAAAGTGGTGAACACAAACACAGGCTAGGCTCTGGGGAATAGAATTAGAAAATTTTGTCTGTCAAAGGAGCAAGTACTGCATCCTGAATCACATGTACTCCTTCAGAACGTGGATCATAGTTCGGTTTTGGAATTAAAATATATTGGATAGCATTTCTGCTTTTAAAGATGAGTTAAATAATAAAACGATCATTCTTATTAATCACAAAACATATTAAGATTTTACTTTAAAAACTGTGAGTTAACAGATCAGACCCCTCTGTAGTTTTTTTCTGTTGCTTCTACTTGCCCCTTTTAATTGATTCATCTATTCATTTAGTAAATATTTATTGAGAATCACTGGGTGCCAGACATTCTGCTAGGTGCTAGGGATGCAAATCTAAATAAGCAAAAGGTAAGGATCTTTATTTTATTCCCTTACATATTACAAATTCCTAGAACAGTACCTGCCTGGTACATAGTGTGCTCCCAGTAAATGAATAAAGCTTACAGTCTATGGGGAAAGAGATACTAAACAATGAGTTTATTAAATGTGATAACTGTCACAAAGGAGAATGTACAAGGCATCCTCACATATGTCATGCACTGTGTTAGGAATTGAGTAGAACAGACTCTTCTCACCCACAAGTAAGGTTAATCATTTATCTTGGTGTGAGGTTCTTAAAGACCACAGAGACCACATCCCTCTTCAGTCCAGTTGAGAAACTTCATCTTAGTGCTTCTCTTCCCTAGGGCTTTGGAATCTGGAACTCTCACTTGAAATCTTATGCTCCAGTGCCATTTAATAAATTCATGATGCTCTGGGACTTGGTCTCCATCTATAAATTGGAGATGATGTTACCTACCACATAATGTTGTTGTATGGGTGAAATGAGAGAATGTGTGTTGCACGGCAGACAGCAGCAATCCAGAGGCCATGTTTAGGGTGCACCGTGCTTCCCACTGCCTGGCTCAGATTCCAGCTGTGCCACCTACCACCTGCGTCACCCCCTGAAGGCTACTCATCTTCTCTGTGACTCAGCTGCCTGACCTGTGAAATGGGTATAATCATCCATCCTACCTCAGTGTAATTATAAGGAGTAAATGGATACCAGAACAGTGCCTGGAACGTTGTAAGGCCAATTTAAGTGATTGATATTGTTTTATAATTCTTGTGTTTCTTCCTCTCTCTTCCCTTCCCCTCCCATCCCATCTTTTGGAACCTACAATTACCACTAACAATTCTGTGCTCTCTGAGGGCTTACTGTTGCCTTTTCTCCCGTAGACAGATTATTGAGGAAATCCAAAATGAAGAATCTAGGTTTTAAAAACTTCATGCCAAATTCATTTTTTCTTTAAAAATGTCTGTTATCAATTTTTAAATTGTCCCAGTGTTTTTTCTTAACTTCTGTATTGGTTATCTAATCAAGCCATAAAATGGCTGCGTCTGAATACTGTGATTGGATTGTAGCAAACATCAACTCATTTTTTTTTCTTTTTTACTTCATCATTCACTCTACCTATTGGCAGATTTGACTTAAGAACGAACCCAGTGTGACTGAAGAGAAAACCTAATCAAAATAGCCAGGAAAATATGCTGTTATCTGAATACTGTATCTTATTGACATGGTTCCCATGACATGGACCTTTTCATTTTTATTCTTTTATTATACTTATCCATATCCAGCCATCTGTGCATGAATTAAATGCTATGAAATCACAAGGCTAGGATATTAGGGACTTCATAGAATCTTCTCAGACAAGTTTATATGTTGTTTTTTAACTTACAATAGGGTAGGATGTAATTGCTCATCATATCTTTTACAGTTTTGTGCTCCTAGTTAACTTAGGTGCTATGAGTTCCCCAAGTTTGGCAAGAGTTTTGTTTTGAAGTTTGTTTGAGTATTACCGGGACCAAGAAAGCTGCTTGTCTTAAAGTCTTACAGAGTAAGCTCTGTTTCATGACATTTTGAAGCACTGGGACTTGATGAAACTATAGAATTCTTGAACTATAATTTCCCTTCTATAGGATCTTCAAAAGTCTCAGTAATATATATATGTGTGTGTGTGTGTGTGTGTGTGTAATGATAATTTTTTATCTTTATTTTTAAAGCTTAAAGAAACCCCTAGTCTGTTTTAATCATCCTCCCTAAGTTGGATGAAACTTATTGAAGAAATAGAATTAGTTAAGACAGGTCAAGCTTATGTAAGTTTGATGAACTATTTAAAAAATACACACAGTTTTGTTTGTTGTTTTAAGAAAAAGGTCTTCTAAAATGATTGAAAAATAATAGGGTAAGATGTAATGTTTATATTATTATTTTCCAAAATGCACTGTGCTGTTGATCCAGCCAGGAAAACATGCCACTCACCAGGGAAAGGGTTACACACTTGTGTGCATTGAATAAATGCTACTCAATATAGATAATAATCATTACCACTGTTTGAAAGCCATATTTTTAGCACACACACAAAATATTAGGAATGACATGGTTACAAATAACGTCTCTAAATAAATCTATTTGGCTTTAAGGAAAGCTCCCAATATTTGCCTTTTCTCATTTTGCACTGGAGTAGGGAATACTTCATCACAGACTGGCTTCAGTGCTGGGGAACTGGCAGAAAGAACACATCCTTTTCAAAACCACAGTATTGTTAATTCACCAGATACTATCCCTGAGCCCCCAAGGTAACCCCTTATGCCCTTATATCACTTCCTTCAAATTTGAGAATACCCATATTATATATTTCAAATTCACCACTGAAACTATGTAGTTCCCATCCCACCAGACACTCGTAGCCAAAGGGAAAATAAACAGGAATAGTAAAAGTTAATTTAGACAGAACTGAATAATTATTTGTCAGTTAACTTAGTTTCATAGGAATCAACACTAACATTTAAACACAAGTACACTTATCTCTAAACTGCCAGTGCATAGCCATTTGTTAATTATCACAGTTTCCACTAACATCGCCGCATGGGGTGGGTGGAAAAGAAATCTAAACAGCACAAACCCTCAGCAGGTTTAGCAACTCACCTAAACATAAGAAAGACAATGAAGATACTTCATAACAGTTTACCCAAACAAATCCATTCTCCTAAAATTGTAATCAGAGGAAAAT